AACCCAAACCATTCTACGATTCTATGATTCTCTGATGTGTTTGCTGGTTTAGTGTTTGCTGTGAAGGGAAGACAATATCTAGCTTTTCCAGTTTTCCCTTATTTGTTATTTTTTAATGCCAGAATTGAACTAGAGAATATACAGAAATATACTACTATATTTTAACTGGCAGATTTTAAAACTGGCTGAACAGATCTTATGCATGTTGTTGGTACTTGATAAAATTTCTTTCTGACCTAAGACCAAAACCTAGGTAATGCAGCCCAAAAGGGATTTGCTTGAGAAAATTATTTGTTATGAAGAAAGATGAATTAAAATGAAATCTGCATCTCCTCTTTAAGCATTACCCAGATACTACACTACTTGTCTGTTAGGTTCTTCTCCCATGACTTGTTTAAATTGAGGATAAAAAACTACTACTCTTTTATCAGCTGGTAAGAGTTAATTCTGTAGCTATTTAAGCGGAAGACACTGTTTTCTTACTGGATCTTCATGTTGGGTGCTATTAGTCAGGCACTTCTGACAAGTATTGCCTTGTGGTTCTGGCATTTGAAAATTAAAACACAAAAAGTAATTGATTTATGAGGTTAAGGACTTAAATATGTTTATATTCCAAGAGCATGAGACTCATTAAACAATAAGTTTCAAGATGTCATTGTTAAAGACATTCTATTTAAGAAAGAAAATGTCCTGTGGGGAAAGTATTTGAAGCGTAGAAATAGATATGATTTCAGTGCATGTGATACTGAAACATTTCAATCGAAATAATTATGGTTTTGTCCCTCCTTAGTTCCTGTCCTCTCTTCTGTTTCTTTCTCTAAGTTTGCCATATACCAGGGAGAGATTTCCTGGTGCTACCTTCCTATGTTTCCCTCTAGGGTATCCTAAAAAGTAGAATATTAAAGTGCAAAAATGAAGAGGAAACCAAAAAGGAGGGAGAAAAGGCATGAGGGTAAAATGTGTGATGTTAATTTCTTAAACTTATGTTCAGCTATTTTAAGTAGGTATTCTAATTTTCAGGAAGAAAACTGCACACTGTTAAGCTTGTAAAGTAATCTTATGGAAGATATGTTTGTTAATGATAAAATCTGTTTTTAAAGCAATCATGAGAGTAAATTAATGTTGTATATATTTGATTTTGTCTTTTAGGCAGATACACAGATTGACAGAGAACATCAAAACTTTTATGAAGCATCATTAGAATATGTTTTTAAAATTCAAGAAGTACAAGAGAAAAAGAAATTTGAATTTGTAGAACCTGTAAGTTTTATGTTTTATTTTCTGTAGAACATATGCATTTAAAGCTGAAAATTGAATTTAAAATATCTGGGTTTGCTCCTTTTTTAACTTGTGATTGCAGGTTGTTTGTATATAGACAGACATTAAGATCTTGGCTTGGGCACTTTCCATGTTTATTAAAGGATTATGTAAGAGCATCATACATTCTGTCAAGTGAAATGTCTGACCACTTGGAGTGTGCGTAACATTTTAATGGAACAACATGTGATGTTGTGTCTGTGCAACACATAATGGATGCTTCCTAATACTGTGGCTTCATGGCTAAAATTCTGAGCCAGCTTTTGGATTTAAATATTCCATGTAGACAGTGTACATATATGTTTTTTTGAGTTACACATGAAATAAAGTGAAAAATCATTGTTTCTGTAGGATAGCTAAGTTTATATTTTGTTGGTGGAGTCATTGGTCTTTAGTTTACTTTGCACATGTACTAAAGCATATGTTAACACGCATTAAAGAGTTGTGTTTCAAAGTCCATATTTAGATCTGGATTTTCTCCTGGACTGGGTTTCCACACACCCTCACCCCCTAGACTATCTTCTGGGTCAGTCATTACCAAAAGCTGCTTCAGTACAATGTGCTAGCATATTTCTGTGGCATAGTTGTAGTACTACTACTGTTTCATGTCATACAGGACTAGCTTGCCAATTGTCCTGTTTAGTTAGTACCTGTAGCCCTTGACAGAGAACATCCAGTGTTATCTGCCCCTTCCCATTAAGCGTATTGAGCATAGCAGAGCATCAGTGGTTGAAGAGGAACATGACAGATGTAACTTTTACTCTCCCTTCACACCAACTTCCTTGTAACTAACTGAAGCAGCACTCTTGACTGTGAAACAGGTTGAATTGCATCTTTAACACCCAGTGTCACCAAGAAGAACACCTCAGATGTCTCCTATCCATGAGATGAGAATGTGTAGTATAGTGAATGTTTGACATTGATGCAAACTAATGAACCTGGATTCAGCAAGGAGTACTTACAGAAATCCTATCATTATGGCATACAGCTGCCAAATCTTAGAGACTAAAACTTTGCTCAGATTTCTAAATAAGAACATTTTTCTACCTGTCACAGATTAATCCAGAGTGTGTCTCTGTGTCTACTTCTGTGAAACTCTCACATCCTGGAAAAATCTAGCAGTTCTGACCTAGCTCTGACCCTGGTATAGGAGATTCTATGCTCCTTTAAAGTCATAGAAACTTTCTAAATTTAGAAGACTTTGTACATAGGGAAATATTACTTTGCAATTGCATATAGTTAAAATAAGGCGTCTTTCATTCTGTGTGCTACACAGAGAGGAAAAATAGATTTGATTTTATGTATTTTAGCTGGATGCACTGAGCTTTATCCTGTTGACCAGGAGCTGCCCCCACGTTTTGTCAGCTGTCACAGCAGCAGCTATGAATTACTAAAATGAGGGAGTGATTTATCAATTCATCAGTGCTGATACTGGGCAAGCAAGCAGGGGAAGTTACTGGTAGACTCATTCTTGTGGCTCTGGCTGTTCTTGTCACCAAGTGTACACATCCAGTAAATAAAATTTACTTCTGAGTGGATCAGATGGCAACCTGTGTGAGATCAGTAGGCATTTAGTCCAGTATGCTCTTAGTTACACACAGGTCATTCCTTGGTGTTCCAGAGGAAGGTATGGGTACTCTGATGGCTGGGTAATGACAGCCCTTGCAGACAGTGTCTTCTGGCTCCAGGTGGGATTTATTATTTTTTTTATAATCAGTCTGAATATAAATGGAGCTTAAATTATAACACTAGTTATAAAATTTTGAACCTTTGAAATTCTTATTTTTTTTTTGTTCTTAGTCTGTTGCGTACAACATGCTGGAATAAAAGTGTAAGGCAAAGTATGTGAGTAGATTGTAATACACATCAGCAATACCACAAAACCAAAAAGTCTTCAAAATAAGCTTTCTAAAAATGCAGAGTTCACGTAAGTGATGTTGGAAGTATGAGCATGTGCAAGTATGAGTATGATGCAAGTAGAGAAGGACAAAGCCTAACACTTTAAAATCACATATCAAAATAATTGCTATATTATTAACTTTTCTTTGTATGTTCTACAAATGTTCAGATGCTAGAAGATGCCTGGTGGTCTATCTATAAAGACGTTTCTCCTCAGGAGCTCTGCTGCTTGTGGGGCATTCTTGAATGTGCATGTGCTGCTTATGTCTCCAATTTATCAGCTCAGTGCTATGTCTCCATATAAGTCTGTCTGCCATACTACTAGTAGTATCTTTGAAGGAGATTTTAACTAAATAAAATAAGGTCTGTTAATGCAGTGAAGGAGGAATTTGTGATGCCCATGTGGAAGAAGGATAAGATCATGACATGGGAATAGAACTTGAAAAACAAATGATCTGCTGGAGCTTCTTCCAGCATCTTCAGTTTGTTTATGCCCAAGGATAAGGATGGTCTGGAAAGCAGAGTGGGAGAAATAGCCTAGCAAAAATTGCCAGGTGGGTTACACCTAAAACAGTAGGACAGTGAATACTGGTAACAGTGGAGTATGTTCCTTCTTGGAGGAGAGCAGGGAGAGATTTTAAGGTACACAATGCTAATGACTCATACTCTGAATAGAGAATTACAATATTTGGAGTAGACTTTTGCAGCCGCTTCTCGGGTGTTGGATTTCTCTGCTGTTCTCTGTATCTTGTTTGAAGGAGTTGCTAATGTGTGTACTAGTGTGAGTAACTGACAGCTGCCTATTGGTGGTCTTCCTAGATCCTGACTTTTTCCAAGGGAAAAAACCCAAAACCTAAAGCTTTTCATTACAGATCATTAAAACTTTTTCTCAAAGATAAAAGAGTGCTAAAATTTACAGCAAGTTAAACAGCAAAGCAAAGTAAGTGACAATAATCTCTCATCCTGGCTTTGCCACTGTGGGCCCAGAGAAGCTAGTCCAAACCAACACCACTTTCTGAGGATGTTATGCTTGTTAAGAGAAATGCAGATGCCTTCCTGGAGCTCCACTTTGTCCCTCAGCACTGCCAGGTCTTCCTTGGCCTATAGGAATCAGGGCACAGAGTTCCTAAATAGTGAACTATCTGAAATGTGAGGGGTGGTCTGTTAAACGTCACAAAAGCCCAGAAGTGTTTATTGAAAATGAAAGAAAAACAAAAAACCGAAACCACAAACCGTGGTGTCATTGCATACAGGTCCATGACACTTCACTGTGGACGTTAAAGTCAGTTTCTTCTCCTTGGATTTTCTACATTATTAACTACATTCACTTTAATCTGATGAATAAATGCTATCTCCTTATTAAAAAAAAAAAAGAAACCAGGGAGATAGGGACTTCTGGCTGATGTGCCGCAGGCCAAAGGTTAAATTCCTCCCCTATCCGAAACCTAAGTACAGCCTTCTTCCTGTGAGAATGAAATGACCAGGCAGTCTTGAGGTCACCAGCTCTACATCAAAATAAATAAAGTCTCAAGAAGTAGTTGGATTTTGTTTCAGGTTCTGTGTTGAAATCCTTGTGCTGGGGTAGTGAGTAGCATTGTATTACGGAGTTCAGACCTCACTCTTTCTTGATGTGGCTGAGTAGATACTCAGAATGAGGTAACTGTAAGGCACTTGTTGAAATGAAAAATTGTTGATATGAACACATCAGGCATTGTATGTGATGTCTGGGGAAACAAATCACCTCTTTACATGTGAAGACCACTGCGAAATACGTTCTGAAAATCTTTTTTGAAAGAAAAAAAAAAAAGGCTGTTGTTCTTTTCTTTATTATTTAATATTAATTTCCTTAAAATTATGAGCCTGCCTTTAGCAGTAGTGCCATTTCTAACACCAGCAACAAGAAAACCCCACTGCAAGCATAAGCCTAGGGCAAAAGACTGGCTTTTAGATCTCTTCCATGCAATGCTATAGTTGTACCTGCCCTGATGGAAGTGGTTACGAAGTTGCCTTAACAGCACAGGCCCATTGGGTACAGGGCATTTTCTGATCGCTGTTCCTTCTGCCACTAGTGACATGTACATAGAAGCAAATACTATACTCACTGTCTGTTTCAACACAGAACTTGAACAAGCTGGTGTAAGACTTGCATAAAATAGTGTATTTTTACTTTTCTTTTATTCCCCTTTTCAAAGTGCTCAGAGAGTATTTGACCAAGAGAACCTCGAGGCCAGATCCTCTGCAATGCACAACTACCAGAATACCTAAGAAGTACTTTAACCAAGATGCATTCAGATTTTTCTCGGGGTTTTTTTGCTTTCTGATGCATTTAGCTTTGCTGCCATCTTGTGTTAAATATTTTCCTCCTCAGTATTTCTCTGTACTCCATATAAGCGTTTTGTATGGTGGAAAATGGTTTTCTTCAAGTATTGAAGCTGAAATTTAAACAGTTTATAGTACATTCTTCTGAAATTACCTTAAACTGATATTTAATTCAGTCATAAGCTGACATACTTTCTCCCACTAGTTCTTTTATTGTAATTTTGGTGTGCTCTAACATTCTGGTCTGGTGCAGTTTCACTGAGCTCTCATTACTCCTACACGTCTTCTTTGGGTGCAAGGTTTTAGCAGTGGCCTCTACTTACAGGTAAAGTTAATCCAAATCCCTTTGACTGAACCAAGTCAGAGTAATCACAGGAGTAGTTAAGCTACTGTATCTCAAGGAGGGGTAGTTGAGGATGCTGATGAGTAACTGAATTTAGACTGTGAGCACAGGCTTTGCACAGCTGGAGCCAGAGCAGAGCTTTAGTTGTAATTTATTTACTCATTTTATACTTTATTAATGAAAAAGGAAGATAGTTTTTTTTCTAGTATGTAATTGTTTCTAGAATGGCATTATAAACCTTAAAATTATAGAACTCTTCCTGTTCACATAATTGGAGCTTTTTAACATAAATTGTTGTATTTGGACCCTCCTCAGAACCACTTGAATAACCAGTAAGAGACTTTCAGGCCTGAGCTGAGATAATTACTTCAGCTGGACAGATGATCAAGTAAAGCTGAGACTATTTCCACAATCTGTGGAGCCCTTCACTTGACCGTGTTGCCTTCATGGTTTGTTTGGTGGTAGGATGTGGTTCTGGAATTCACACCCATTGTAGAGGCCCCATAAAAAGTGGCTGTTATAGCCAAGGGTCTTCTCAGTTCTTCAGGCTTCATGACGAAATTACTGGGCAGCCATGGGCTTTCACCATTTCTGCCCAAGGCCAGATCATCTGATCCTGCAATGCTAGTAAAAAACCAAGGGCCAAGTCCTTCTATCAGCCATGCCTTCATGCTTCTATTTCTGCCAGCACTGATGGTCTGTTAACTTTGAACTGCGTCAGCTTCCTAATGCAGCAGAACAGCAGGCTTCCCGAGGCAGAGATGCTCGCTGAAGGGCTTAGTGCCAGAGCTGGCACAAGGATGCTTTACAGGCTGCCAAGGGAGTTGTGAAGCCTCCCTCTCTAGAGACATTCAAAACCCACCTGCACATGTTCCTATGTAAGCTGGTCTAGATGGCCCTGCTTGGCTGGACTAGGTGATCTCCAGAAGTCCCTTCCAACCCAAACCAGTCTGTGATTCTGTGATGTGCAGGATGTGTGACAAAGCTGAATGGGGAAAGAAAGAAAGGGGCGGGAAGAGGAGCAAGACTTAGGTCTGGTTGCAGCAAGTCATCATGTTAGCTTGTGTGGTCATAGTGCTGCATCCTTGATCTCTCCTTGCCAAGCTGTGGAAGTTTGCTTGTTGAAAGGTGTGGAATGCCTTGCGATGCCAGAATGGATGGGGTTCTAAAATTGCAGAACATTAGTTTAGCTATTCCCCTGAAAATAGGTGTGTTACCTTAGCACAGTAGTGAGCAATGGGGAAGGGGGAGGCAGAACAGTTTAACTACATTTCCTCAACTAGGGCTGAGTGTTAATTTAAAGAAAATATAAAGACAGTAAAAGCTACTTTTTTAAGCTGTTTCACTTACAGTAATCTATAGTACTGGTAACACAAGGAAAAATGCATTGAATATGAATGATGGCATTTTTGTTGCCTGAGTCTAGGCTACTTCAGTAGTCAATGGAGAGAGATAAATGTTTCCCTTGGATCATTCATCCCATCCTGAGAGAAAACTTTGAAAAAGGAAAAAGAATTATGTTCTTGAGTACCTGCGGTTTTTTACTGAGTTAGGAGGCAGCCTGGACAGCCAGTTACTTAGCCTAAATGATTAGCTTTTCAGTGGCTGTAATATACTAAGATAAATCTGTCCTGTTGTTACAGCTTTTGGTTTTGTACATACAGTTAATATATCTTTTTTGTTATTTTCTTTTTCTTCTTTTTTTTGGTAAGCTAAATTACAGATGCAAAGAAAGCAGTACATAATAAAAAATTAAATGCTTGTTATTGAATAGCAGGTAAGATGACTTACAGCAATGTCAAAATGCTTTGTAGAACAGAATAAGTTAGAAGGCTTTTAAAACTAATAGGTTGTAGGAGTGCATTAATTCAACAGCTAAAATCTAGTTGCACTTTTTACTGCTTCAACATTATTTTAAAGGAAACTTTAAAAAGAATTTTCAGCTGGATATGTACAAACTTCAGCTGACAGGAAGAAATAGTCTGGATTCCTTGTGTTGTATTAAGCTGTCCAAAACATACTTTCAAGAGTCTAATTTGTGGAAAATAGGTCATAGCAATTAGTATGAAGAAAGTGAAAAAACGTTTTGGAGAAAAAAACCCTTGAACTCTGAAAGCATGAACTTGGAAAATGCACACCACCAAAGACTCCAGCTGGAAATCTGGATAAAATGACTAGGACAGTGAATCAAATTGTTATGGAAATGACATGATGCAAAAGCCTGTTGAATACTCTCTTAAGGTCTGACCATGGATTGCTCAGTAAAGCTTTTCTATTGCAAATAATGAAAGCTAAGAGTGTTCCAGGAGCTAAGATACAGAATGAGTTTTGCTCATGGTTTGCCATATTTTGCTGCTGAAAACTAATAGAAAATCCTTTGTTCTTAGTTTTTGCATTCTAGGACTCACCTGAATAGAAAAAGTGTGTAGCAGTTGCTAAGAACCTTTTTCTCACTATCTCAGGCAATGCTAATTCTTTCTAAGTTAGTGTATACTCTGTTACCTTTGTGTTATGCAGTGTCAAGAATGCTTGTTAAAAATATGTAATACTTGTCAATTTTACCTTTTCAGCTCTTGGCCTTTCTTCAAGGATTATTTACATTTTACCATGAAGGATATGAGCTAGCTCAGGAATTTGCACCATACAAGCAGCAACTGCAGTTCAATTTGCAGAACGTAAGGATGATTTGTATTTACACCATTTTTTTGGCTCATTTAATTTCAGGATATTCAAGAAGTAGCACTTTATTGGAACTCTAATGTGTAAAATTATCTGTGTAAATGCTTTCTTGAGAGTGAGGCCTGTCTTCTGGAGTAAGTGGATGTCCCAAAAATGCTCCAGCTGGGACAGAATGATGCAGTTTGTTTCTCTAAGATCTCAGATTGCCACAAAAAGCTTGTCCTGCTGTCTGCTAGCTTCCCACTGTATATGGAGCATACTTAGGAAGCCATTCTCTTGCTCTTTTCTGGACCATCAAAGAATTGGTGGGGCCTTCTTCCATAGCAAGTAGTTCTCATGAGCATTGAGTTCCACCAGAAGAAATGTTCTGTTACTTGTGTAGAGAGTTACTCTCAACTGAGAAGGTGGATCTTTTGCAGTAGATTGGTCTGAATTTGAGCCATACAAGATTAACTGTGCCCAAAAATTCCATAACTTTCAGAAATAACAAGAATGCATTTAGTCAACATACATTTTCACTTCTCGTATCTGCTGTATACAACTGTATATTTATTTCACTGTGTGCCTCAGATGTTACACTTCCGAAGACATACAAGTAAGTAGATATGAAGCATACTTATTTTAACCATTTGCATTAGAACCACTATTACTTACTTTTAAAGCAAAAAGTGAAGTTCAGTATGTCAATACTGGGCCAGCCCTGCATTTTTCATGACAAGCAATATCAAAGTACAGAAAAAATTCTTTAAAAAAAAGTGAAAGAATTCTATCATTTGCTCCAAATGCTATATATTTGGGGTGACTCAATTTCTTTTCTATTTTATTCTTTAAAGAAAAGATACTCAACTGAAATTTTAATAGCTTCACTAGAGTCAAAGAAGCTACAACAGTTTAGATCTGACATCAGGTTGCCTTTCCTAGATGAAACAGATCTGGGAGTACAAGAGCAGCTTACTGTGCTTGACTGCTATTCCCTGTGCTTTACTGGAAAATGAAACACATTTTTCACTGTAGCATCTTACTGTTATTAGAGGCATATGTTAGCTCAAAGTTGGAAGACGGCATTGCCTTAGCGCTGTTAATGTAGACCTGTTTCTTAGAAGTACTGCACTTTTCCAAGTTTTGCTGCAATTTAACGTGTGCAGCACACCTCCATAGCCCCATCCACTTTTATGTCCACTGTTCATATGTAGGTATAGATCCCATTTAAAACAGTGCTTGAGGAAATAAGGCAAAGCCTTCTAGATCATAGACTCATAGAATAGTTAAGGTTGGAAAACACCTGAAGATCATCTAGTTCCAAGCCCCTGCCATAAGCAGGGACACCACACACTAAACTATGTTGCCCAAGGCTCTGTCAACCTGGCCTTGAACATCACCAAGGATGGAGCATTCACAACTTCCTTGGGCAACCTATTCCAATGCCTCACCACCCTCACTGTAAAGAACTTCTTCCTTATATCTAATCTAAACTTCCCCTGTTTAAGTTTAAAGCCATTACCCCTTGTCCTGCCAGAACAGTCCCTAATGAAGAGTCCCTTCCCAGTATCCTTATAGGCCCCCTTCAGACATTGGAAGGCTGCTATGAGACGAGATGATTAACCTTTTCGTTTTAGATTGAAATACAAATGCAAATGTTCTCTGCCTGTTGCGCATCTTAGCCCCTTGTCCTTTCACATTAGGTGTTTGCTACTTTCGGTTTGCTACTGAGTCTTTCAGATAAAGGCACAAGGTGTCAGTGTTGTTGCACAGCACAGTTTCAGTTGAAAGGTGAAAAATGTGCTTCAGCCCAGACATTTATTTACTTTCATATGGCAAATTCTGGGAGGAGCATGAGGCCACAGCACAGACCTAAACTGACATTGTAAGTCAGAATGTGTCAGTATCTTCTATGCATGTATCTAGAGAAACAGAATTATTAAAGGATTTTTTTAAATTCAGTGTTAATTAAGAAATAATTAAACTTAATCGCTTCTTAAATATGATAGAACTACAATTTGAAGTTGTAAATAAACTAAAGGGTAGAGGGAGATGTAAAATTAGGCAGAAGGACAATGTTTTATGGTATTTTAGTTATATTATGCATCAAGAGAAACAGATACATAAAGATATAGTGGGATACAGTAAATAATCCGCTGCTGTTACACAGAAATTTGAATTCTGGCTCCTGATCTAGATCCACAGCTTCCTTTTGCCAGCTGGACTACCTACTGACTTGTCTCTCAGAGTATCAGCCTACCTCGTTCTGAAGTGCAATAATTTATG